TTAGTCCCCCCCTCCTCCCGCAGCGCCCGGCCTTTCCGCGGCCTCCAGTGAGGGGCGGGACCGCCAGAGCTTTGGCCCAACGCCCACCGTCCCGCCCCCGGGCCTGGCCGGGACCCCTCCTCCCGTGGAGCGGCTCCGGCGGGCCAGGGGTTGGCATCACCCCCGGGGCCGGCTGGGGGTGGCCCTGCCCCGGCTCTCATTGGACTGCGGCGAGGAGTAAACTGTCAGCCCATGTGGCGTGGCCGCCGGAGGTGGCGGCTGCTTAAATAGCGGTGGGAGCTAGAGGGAGACAGTGAGGAGAGCGCGGAGCATCAGCCGTGCGCACACAGGCATCGGCCGCCGCAGCAGCGTCCGTTTCCCCCCCCCGTCCCCGCAGCAGCACGGTCCGGTGCTCGGCTGAGGCCAGAGTCTCCCCGGCGCGAAGCCTTCCGCCCCTGTACAGGTACCGGCGGGATGCGACGGAGGGATGTGAGGGGGGGGGTCGGGAGAACGGCGGCCTACCGCGGGCCGCAGCGCCCGGTGGGGGCCCCGCCGGGGAGGCTCCATCTTGCCCCCTCTCCGCGGTGCGGGGGCTGCGCCCCGCGCCTCGTGAGGCGTCGGGATCCGCGGGGCCGGCCCGCACCAGCGGAAGGTTCCGCGCCGCGTTCGCCGCGCCCCGTTGCCGCCTCTCCCGTGGGCCCAGCGCGGCCGCGTTGAGGAGGGGTTCCCCCGCCGGCTGGTTACCGAGCCGCAGCTCCCCGCTCCGCCCGCCCGCCCGGCGCGGCGGGGAGGCTGAGCCGGCTGCATTGTGGTGCCGGCGCTCGGCCATCTTGGCGGCGGGCGGGGACCCCGGGCCGGGCGGGCTCGGGGGAGGTAGGGACGCGGCCAGGGGCGCCGCAGCCCCAGCAGCAGCCCCAGCCTTCCCGCCGCCCACCCCCGGGTGTTGGGGGGCCGCTCCCGGTGCGGGTTCGGCGGCTCCGCGCTGCCGCAGCCAGGGCCGGAGGGGGGGGGTCGCAGTCCCCGCCGTGCTGTGGGCGCGGGGGCCCGGCCGAGGAGGGGTGTCCGTGAGGAGATCCAGCCCCCCGTGCTGGGAAGGGTGGTTTGTCAGTAGGTGCTGGGGAGCCCTCGCAAAAAAAAAAGGTGCCGCTTATACCACTGAACTTCTTTTTTTTTTACCCACCTGGGTATGAAGCAGCCCATTGATCCCGCGCCAGCCTGGCTTTGTTGGTGTGATCCTGTCAGGAGCAGGATGTGATGAGCCTCTTCTCTCTCCTGGTGGTTTTGGTCCTATCTGGTTTTTATTCCCCGTTCCCTCCCCGCCGTAGGGCCCTGTGAGATACAGAATGCATATTTTCTTATCTAAGAGCTTTATCCCGATGCTGAAATGGGAAGGGGCAGTGTTCAAGCTGTGTATGGTGACTTGGGTTCTCCCTCAAAGGGAGGTGTTGGGGGATTTGGAGCAGGTCTGGCCTTAAATAATGAAAGGGAGGCAAAGCCTCAAGCCACACGAGCAACGGGTTCGCTTTTCCTCCAGCCTCTGTGCTTCTTGAAACAAACTGAAAATAATAGTACACTATGAAAGGCTGCATTTAGCAGATGAATTCAGAGGGTGAGCTCCACGCAGAGGGCGGTTTGGAACACATAAGCAGTACTGGGGACTTCAGATTTTTGTATAAATCAATTCTGACCATTTGGGAATCAGAAGAGCTGCGTTGATTCCACAGGCAAGATCTAACCCACTTTTCTCAAATAACATGTCTGAACCAGATTGTGTTTCCTGCTAAGTGTAGGGCATTTCCAATCTGAAACACGCTACCATCTTTCATTTGTTTTGTGGTCAATGAGACAAATCCAGCCTTGGAACAGAAAGAGACAGTTTAAAAGACTTTGTTAAATCAAAGTCATAGCACACAGGTTGATGGTAGCCAAATGCTTCCAAAAAAATGAAAGGCAGCTTGTGCTTGCTTCTACTTTTGTAAGGATTTTTTTTTTTTGGAGGCAGGCATCATAGCTCTTCACAAGTGAAGTTCCTGTGTAATGACAGTTTTAATTACAAATTTTGAAGTCATAAATCAGAGATTAGGAAAACTGGATTATGGTGTAATCGTACTGAAAAATTAAGAAAGCAATCATTTTGTCAGTGTCTGTGCTGAAGGATCTATGGAGGAGCCATGGATGTTTCGCTTTACAATAATGGGAGCTCCAGAAAAGATCAAGATTTGGACTACCCTAGAAACAGTAGCAGAGTTGGCTTTGAGGGCTGTGTCCCACCGTGATGACAGCCATCAAAATAACAGGAAAGTAATAAGTGATGGGCTCCTGTCTAGGAAAGAGCACTGTGATCTAAGCGATGGGCTCCTGTCTAGGAAAGAGCACTGTGCATCAGGCAAAACAAAATGGAGTTTTACTTATTGTTTCTTTGCAAATAGTTTCTTTGCAGTTTCTTCCTCCTTCCCTCTCCCCTCCTCTTCCTCACTGAACCTTAGGTGGACATAGATACAGCACAGTAAGAAAGATACTCTCTTTGGACAATCAGGTATGAGTGGGAGAAGACATAAAATTTTACCTTCACTTTTGTATTTTTCTTTTTTTTTTTTTTTGGCTTTCCCCCCTCTAAAAGCTTACAACCTTAATGGGCACAGAGATATTTTTGTAGGGAAACAGTAAATAAAATAATTTTTTAAAAAAAAAGGTGTGCAGCTGTTGTGCAGGGATGTTGGAAGAATGATGATTAATACTTTTCTTCTTGATTCATTATCAATGCTGGATTGGTGAGGTACTCAAAGACAACTGTTTTAAATGCAATAAAGAACAGTACTTCAATTTAAGAGTAAGTTTGGTAATAGCATTAAGCTATCCTCATACCAATAGGTATCCAGTATGTAGAGAACAAGGTTAAGAAGGTTTAGCACAATTGGAGAAAGGAACTGGCATCAATAAACAAACCAGCCTTGTCAAGTGGCTAACGTGGGAGGTAGATAACCAGAGCACAGGTATAAAGTGATGAAAGTTGTTACTAGTCAATAATACCAGAAGGGATTGTTATTACCAGTCACAAAGTGAATGAGTCAGCAATGCAATATCATTGCCAAAAAAATATTGTGTAAATCCAGTGAGGTGGTAGTTTATGCTTAACTGAGGTGTCTGTCAGACTGACATACTGGGGGGAGGTGTGTGCTTCTCCCCCCCCCCCCCCCCTCTTTCCACAATTAAAAATGCAGGCTGTCTAGGAAGAATTCACAGAATTCAATTCAAGAAAAAACATGGGGTAAACAGAGGAAAAAGGATGTTACATGTCTGGTTGCATCAGACAAAATGCAGCCTTAAGAAATCAAGAGAATCCTGTTTGTCCCCCTTTATCTTGTCTGCTTTTTTGGCCTCTTGCTTCTACTCACCTTGGTCATCAAATACAGGAGGAACAGTCTCTTCTGTATATTTGCTGGAGAACTAATTTTCTCTCTTGCTCTCTGCTACGTCCTGTACTTCAAGAACTGTCCATGTACTGTGTACAGTCTGAAAGTGCAGTAACAATACACTATCCAGGGTTAAACTCAAACTTTAAAATGGTCTACCTGCCTATCTGCCAAGGAAGACCAAAGACATTGTCAGGAGCTGCAACATCTACTTTAATCACTGTTTAACCAGGGATGACTTAATATTCATTATTTTCCTTCTTCCCACTCCCGTGTTCCTCTGCAAATCATCTCCCCTCTCTGCTGCCAAGTCCCTAATATGTATGTTATCTTAGAGGTGGGCATTTGGAGCTCTCTGTGTCACGTCTAAATCTTTCCAGTTCTTTGGGTATAAAAATCCTTAACTTGTGTCTCTCTTTACCCATTCACCCAGCTAAAATTAACTTTTTTTGGCTCTTGTTCTTCTGCATTTTGATTACTGCAGCATCTTTTTCTCTGCCTTTTGACACAGTCTTGCTCAACTACACTCATAACATGTTGGCAAAAATTGCTTTGCTGATAAATTCCATTACTTCACTGTCTCAGAATAACATTTTGTTAGGATTGTGTGTACCTGGATAGATATTTTTATTTTTTTTTTCCTCCTGGTACTTCAGGAGAGCTGTGGAATGGGAAGGAACAATCCCAGAAGTGATGTTTCAGTCCCCTGAAATACAAATTAGACTTCTCTCCCTAGAGGTCATCACCCAGAGAGTTAAGGCATAAAATCAAATCATAATCATGTTATTGTTTTGTCTGTCTCTTGCCTTATGGTTTGTGCCTGGGATCCATTCCTCCT